TTGAAGGATGAATCAATGTCGGAATTGGACAAATTTGGTATGGTTGGGCTTGTATCAAAATGGGCGTTCGGATTTTATAAATTTTATCGGGTTTCGAGGCGCGAGCCCGGGGTTGACTTTTTGGGTAGACTTTTTAGTTTTCATTAAAGATCGAAGCTTTATTATCTGAAATTATTTCCTATGATATTTATTTATGATATTAAGTTATTTTGGCTAGATTTGAGCCGTCCGGAGGTTGTTTCATACGAGAAGGTCATTTTAAAGTATCGGTCTAACTTCTTTGAGGTAAGTATCTTGTCTAACTTTGTGGGGGGAACCACTCCTAATTAGGACTTGAGTCGTTTGTGTCATTTGTGTCATTTGAAAGTCGTGTACGCGAGGTGATGAGTACGTACTCGAACTTATATGTAAAAATTGACTGGTCTAGACTCTTAGGCATCTTTTATGTACTTATTTGGAATTGTTAGCACATGTTATATCTTTTATTCGTCATGTCTACTATTGCATGATTTATTTGAAGTTATTGTTACATATCACATTCTTTACCTATCGAGTTTGCTCTTATATGCTTTATTTGGGGTTGTTATCACTTTGTGTCATTATGTGATTTCTTTTATTGTGGAGCTACTCTTAGTTGAAATTGTCGTCACATGATATCCTTTGTTGTCGGGTTGTTCTCATACACTTAGACGAAGTACTAGTTCATGTCATCTCTTTCATTGTTAGTCTAATTCATACACTAGAGTCTGAAGTTTACCATTTCATTGAAGTGCTTTCACTATCGAGGTTATCCTTAAATAATTAATTGGAATTGAAGTTATCGAGAGTCATTAATCTATTCTAATTGAAGTTGTGTTTAAAGGGAGTGTTGTTCTTTGTTGAGTTACTTTTCCGTTCATTTTATTTTTATTGAGATACTATATACGTTGTGCTGAGCCGTGGGCTATTTGTTATGAAAATATTAATATCGTTGAATCTTTGGAAAGGTTGTGGCCTACGGGCACTTGTGATACGAGTTAATATGTTGTGTTGTTGTGATGATAGCACATGTGAATTTTTTGTGTGGTTTGGTTATTGTTATACGTAGTATAAGGGTAAAATTTTACCTTTTGTTATTATGCGGGGCATAAGGTGGCATTTCGCTGTTGATAAATGTACGAAGTGATACAGGTGGCTATTGTGTTATTGTACGGGCGGAGCGATAAGGGTGGCTATTACACGGAATGATACGGGTGGCTATAGGAGAAATAAGGGTGGCTAATGATAATATCAAGGCGGGGTGATACATGTGGCTATCAGAGAGATAAGGGTGACAATGTCAGGGATAATGTGTGATGGTTGGAGACATTGTGTTGGTGATTTTCGTGTGATGGTGTGCTTTTCCTTGCATTTGTCATACACCTTGCATGACTTGCTTTGTCGTTTCGATGATCTATTCGATGTCTTTGATATTACTTGTTGACTTGGGCTATAGTAGTACACTCGCACAAGTATACACCGTAGCATGCCACTTATACTAGCTCAGGAGTATGAAGCTTAACATTTATTGATCATGCCCATGTGTTCTTGTATTATCTGTTTCCACGTTGATATTAAGCATGTGACAATGCCATGCGGATTGTGGATGTGAGCATGATATCATACCGGGCGGATTGTGAATGTGAGCCTGTGATCATGCCGGGCGGATTGAGATTTTGGCATGTGAGTTGTCTGTGTGGTTGTGATGCGAGATGTAGGCACGAGATGCCGTGAGTATATGATGGTGGGTTGAGACCCGTAATTTGTGACTATGAGATGAAGTACCACAGAGTGATTTCATTGTGAAACTTGTGTTAGAACGGCTTGATTAATTGATTATCCTTTGTGTTTTCTTATTTTGTTTTAATGATACTTCGCAGTGTTCTTATTGCTTTACTGTTTATATCACTTGTTTGTTCTTGTTGCCATTTACTTATTTCCTCTTTCCATTATTAGTTTTTATAGTTCTATACTGCACAAGTTATTTTATCTAGTGAGTGTCTTGACTTGTACCTCGTCACTACTCTACCGAAGTTAGTCTTAATACTTACCGGGTATCGACTGTGGTGTACTCATACAATACTTCTGTATATTTTTGTGCAGATCTAGATACTTCGGAGTCTGTTGGTTGTTAGATAGCGGATCATATATTGCTGTAGAGACTTGCAGGCATACCTGTCGTCGCGCTCGCAGGCTTCAGAGTCACCTTCAGAAGTTATTGTTGTACAACTTATTTCTATTCCGGAATAGTTGTACTTAGAGATTTTCTAGTGAACTCAGTAGAGCTTATGACTTGTACTACCAGTTTTGGGATTGTTGGTTTTGTATAGAAATTTATTTTTCATATTTAATAGTTATTGGTTGAATTTTGCCATTAATTCAGTAAATGTTAGGCTTACCTAGCCTTAAAGACTAGGTGCCACCATGACATCCCACAGAGGAAAATTAGGGTCGTGACAGTATTAAGCTTCAACGTGCACTCTTTTTAATTCCAACTTAACAACTGCTTAAGCAGATAAAAATAAAAAAATTCAGAAGTGCTTAATTGCTCCGATTATAGTGAATTGTATAAATTTGATGTGGAGGTCGAGAATTAGAGTGAAAGGTTAGTAGGTAGTCAAGTATATTTCCATCTTATACCTGTAATTTTAGTATTTTCTTGTACTTTCTTATTCTGTCTATTACTACATGATGTTCAGGGGCATAGGCCTTGTGTGGGATGCGGGTTCGGCCGAACTCAATAGTTTTTGTTCAAATCATGTATTTGTCTTAAGAAGTCTATTGAATATGTACAACTTATTAATTTAGAACTTAGTAACTTAAAATAATTACAATCATGAACCCATAAAGTTCAAATTCTGGCTCTGCCTCTGAATTGATGTTGCTTCTGCTTCGGTTATATTATTATTTTGCTATTTTGTTTCTTTTTTCTTGACTTCTTCACTATTGTATTTCCTTTATTAAATTGTTGTGTTTATGCTTGCCTTGAGCCGAGAGTCTATCGAAAGATAAGAATAAAATCTGCTTATGCATGAGTACTTTTTCTACTTATAAAATTACACTGAATATATTATTGTTATACTTTCAAAGCCCTTTTTAAATCTGCACTTTTAACGGTTGTTCACAGCTGTTTGTTTTTCCTCCATGTAATTAGAAGTATAAATTATTGCCAATTTGCCACACCTCATTAATTAATTACTACTACTTGTTATTACTAGCAATGTGTCCGTACCTTGTTGAACGAGAAAAATTAATGTTCTTTAAGATCTAACGTTTAGTTTTTGATGTGGATAACAAGACCAAGGTGATATTCAGAACTTCTCTCTTCCTCGTACTTTTATTCTCCAAACCAATGACAGCGTCAGAATTTTTACTGAAAATAGTTAAAATATAAAAAAGTGAATTGATACCTCTTGAACAAAGGTGACTCCACGACTGCTCCAAACCAATTTATAAAGCTGGGAAGAACTGTTTTTATTCTTTTTCTATATAGTGTTGCTTTGGATATCACATTCCCGTTATTTTACCAATAGCAATGTTTCCGTACGTTGGGGAATCGAAAAACTAATAATTTATTTTAGGTCTTCTAAACGCTAATTAATGAACATTATGAATTGGTTGTGAATAACAATACATAAGGATAAAGGGGGTAAGATCCAAGATTTTACTTTAGACAACATGGCATTTAGCAAACTCCTAGCTGTATAAGTATAATATTCATACTTAAAAAGCTGTGGGAGGAAAAAGTAATAAAACTATCATTTCTTAATATGTACATGAATATTACAATATCAAAAAAATGTGTTATGAGTATTTGCTTTTCAAGTATCTAAATCTCGGTACGCGAGTATAGGAGCAATGATAAAGTTATTCTCGTATGACCTATAGACTACGAGTTCGAGTCGTGAAAATAAGTCAGATCTCTTTATACTAGTCACACTTTATAATAATATTTTATTAAAACATACAAGTTTTTCTTAGAAATAATTTTTTTATGTTATATTTTATCTCTATAATAGTCTTTTACTTGATTATAGTAGCAGCATATATCCATCATTATAACGACATACGTATTCTTTATAAAATTATCTCTCTATAATAAACTCACTCAAATATTTATATTTGTGTTATTTTATACTAACAATAAAATAGTCTACTACTAATTATAATCTATTGGAGACATCACTTTAGTAAATTTTATAAGTTCCAATACGGAATCTGTAACATCAAAAGCTCTCGCGGACTTGAAACAGGAGAAATAAAAAGATGAAGTTGTGAACCTTTTGTATTATGTCATTTTCCACACATTCCAACTTATTAATGTACTATGAGCTTTTTAAAACTTTTAATTAATGAAATATGAATCATAAGGAGCTAATTAGGATAGCTGATCCATCTCTCTGTTGTAACTGATTTTCTGGATGAATGAAAGGAATGCGCCACCTTATGGCGTAACTTTATTTAAAAAAAAGTTAATGAAATATGAATTTTATCCTAGGTGTATATATAATGTGTATTTAGGCCGGGGGCGAAGGCACAATGTCATATACGGGTTCGGTCGAACCTATTAGTTTAGATTCAAACCTTGTATTTATCTTAAAAAATTATTGAATATGTCAAAGTTATTAGTTTAGACCCCGATAATTTAAAAGGATTAGAATATTGAACTCATTCAAGCACACTTAATATGTATACATTTTGGATATATTGAATAAGGAAGAATTTTCCATGTTTTTTGCCTTTCAAAAGATTCGTAGAGATGCATGCATAGGGCACCTTTCACTATTAGATAAGTGGCCATTTGCCAGCTTTAGAATTATATACGATAAAGCTTCTTTTTTTTAAATTTTTTATGTTAGTTAATTAATTGTGCAAAGCTTAGACTGATCGAAAGTGCTATACTTGTTAGCTTCTACATCCAGTTTTTGAAAAAAATGAAAATTGTGCGGAACAAAACACTTGATAAAAATAATAAAGAGATATTAAGCTAATTAAAAATGATAGATGTTCTATCAAAATGGAATAGTAATACAACCGCTTATTTATTACACAACACTTGATCTTGACTAGAGACTCAAAAAGGGACACGCACAAAGAGGAAAAAAGAAAACAAGAGGGACAAAATACAAATGGATTAATAAGTAATTAAGATCAAAGAAGACAATCCCATCTCTTATTCTTCTTCTCCTCATTATTGCATACTACCAAATTCTGCGGTTGTAAACTTAGATCTTTCTTCATCCCTTTACACGACCCTGCATCACAAAATCGAACAAGTGCAAATCAATATACAAACTGCCATATCTATTAAGTACTTGTTTTCCTCATTTTAATTGGTTTATTAAATGGCAATACTTCAATTAAGAGAATATTAATACACATTATTTTAGCTAGTGCGCAAGTGTTACTTGATCAATTATCTATTTCTTGTACCATACTTAAAACCCAAGATAAAGAAACTATAAAATGAATGCTGTTTAACTAAGTATATGTATTTATTTTAAAATCTTCAATATGTATGATTGTAGTATAAGATATGCATGGAACTAGTAAAAAATTAATCATCCATCTCATAGCCCGTCTCATTTCACTATTTAATGGTGAGATTTGTTAATCCTATCTTATAATTTGGTCCCCACGTGATTGTTAGCACTAAACTAATTCATATTTTTTCATACTCCTTTTAGTGGTTGTTTGGTAAAATGGTGGAATATCCCTTGAGGTGGTATATCCCGTGGGATTAGCCACTTTGTATATGGGATAGCTAATTCTACTATTTTAGTGTAGAAATTATCCGGGTATTAGCTAATACCCTAAATCAAACATGGGATAAAGTTAATTTCAAACTTTATCCCAGGATTATTACCCTTATTCCAAGTACCAAATGACCCCTAAATGTGCTGAAACAAATTAACAAAATGGCATATCGGTGCATGAAGCATCCTACATTAATGCTGGATCCAGGGAAGGATCGCACCCTAATGGGTGTGATTTAGGCAACCTACATTCTGATTCAAGCATCAATGGCTGATTCCAATGGCTGATTCCACGACTCGAACACGTGACCTATAGGTCACTCTCGGAGACAACTTTACTGTTGCTCCAAGGCTTCCCCTCCAACAAGTATAGAAGTAATAATATTAATGTGTCTACTTAACAAGCAGTCAGATAATATAATTACGTGGAGCAGGCCATGTCGAGGCTGATCTTGAATGGAAGTTCGATTTCACATGTGTTTGGGAGATCAGCAGCTTTGGTCAAATCAAGTAACAACATATTTTTTGCAGCAGCTTGCAGGCAAGTACATGCAATTTGGCGATCAACGGTGGTGCTAGCAACAGCATTTAAGTCCTTAACGCCATCGCAGCAAGTTCCCAAAAGCCCAGTATTTGTAAGGAAAGGTACGCATTCTTTGAGGTACGCGTCAACCTCAGTGCAAGTTAGGGCTTCTGCGGTGCGCGCAGCTGCCACTATGCACAAAACTACAAAACAGGCAATCTTTGCAGCCATTTTTGTTGTTTGGAGAGAAAGGGATGAAATAATAGAGAGAATTGTAAGAGAGAATGCTATTACTGCTTTGGGAGTATTGAGTGTTGCGTACAAAACTCTAGGGTACCTTAGGGTTTTTATAGGGGAGAGGATGAGTTTAAGTGGGAGAATCAGTTGGTTTTGGGTTATTTGTTTTTGTTTATTTATGTATTGATTTATAATTTACTACCTACGTGCATGGAACTTCCATGAACCATGCGTGTTAGGGTTTTGGGGTTTGGGCAATATAAAAGTGAAACCCATGCATGGAGATATTTTCTTTTTGTTATTTGTTCAAGAGTTCCTTTTGAATCAAATTTCAATACCTACTTTTGTAGCGAAAAACCAAGTTGAGTACTACAGAAACTTCTTATTTGCACAGTTTAATCGGTATTATTAGTTAAATAAGAGCAGTCCGGTATACAAAATACTTTGCCTTTTATGTAGGGTCCGAGAAAGGACAGCACCCCAAGGAGGTGATTTAGATAACTTACCCTAATGAAAGTATTAGTGGCTGCTTTCACTACTCGAACTTGTGACCTATAAGTTATGTATTAGTTATGTATGTTGTTTAGCTCATTTTTTCTACACCAGTTAAATTAAAGATACCTTATTATTAGGAGATCAGAAAAAGTGTTAAGACCCAAACTCACCTATAAGTCGTGATGGTGCCCAACATCCCATCTAGGTAAGCCAACTAATAATTTAAACATATATTTATTTCTTTAAAAATTATCCAAGTAATCAAACTCTTCGAAATTTTAAAATTTAAGGAAGATATGAGAAAATAAGATAAATTAAAACTCAAGTAAAAATAATTAAATCCATAAAATTTACTAGTGTATGTGCCAAGACCCGGTGTCAAAAGTGTATGAGCATCTAGTAGATTATATAAAATTTTAAATATTGTCCGAAATAAAATAAATAGAATACAAATACAAGAAGAGGCACTAGTTGCTGCATAACGGCTCAGAAAGGCAGCTCACCACTAAGCCTCTGGATAACGTGGGTGCGCTCGGATAGGTCCTCCGGTAGTACCTATCTCAGGTCCTGTACAAAAAGTGCAGCAAGCGTAGCATGAGTACGTAAACAACATGTACCCAGTAAGTATCAAGCCTACTCTCGAAGAAGTAGTGACAAGAGGTCGACTTTGACACTCACTAAGGGTCAATAATATCATAATAAAATATAATTAATTAAACATAATTTTTAGGTAAACAATAATAATTTTATTAACAAGCAGAAACAATTAATTCATTAAATTTCAATAATTTCTAATTTATAAATTAGCTTCACAAGCTGCAATTAAAANTCTCTAACAATTTGCAATATAATTCTATTGCTTTAATTAAATAAGGATACAATTATCAAAAGTAATTCATGATTTGAGTACTAAACTACCCGGATTTTAGCAATATTAATAGCTACGCACAGACTCTCGCCCCCTCGTGCGTATGTAGCTACCCCAATTAGCAACAATTATTAATTTAAATAACCTATGGGGTAAATTCCCTCTTACAAGGTTAGACAAGAATCTTACCTTGTCTCAAAGCCCACTTTTCGATCACAACGTCGCGTAAAAATCCCAATTCGGTGCCGAAAAATTCGAAACTATCCAAATGTTATATAAAATAAATAATACATATTCAAAAATTCTAAATTAGACTACTAAATAAATTACCATATCCAAAATGGTAAATTCCTAAAATTCACCCCGGGCCCACTTGCCCGGATTCTGGAAATTTTTGGAGGAAAACATTATCCATAATCTCAAGAACTCAAATATACAATTTCCATCCAATTCCATAACCATTTTCGTGGTTAAAATCTCATTTTTGTCAAAACCTAGGTTTTTTTCACCTAAACCCTTGATTTCCAAGATTTACAGTTATAATCTACCCATAATCTATGTATTTAACTCAAAGTGTACAGAATTAACTCACCTCCCAGTTGTTAGTTGAAATCATCTCTCAAAAAGCTCCAAAATAGCCCAAAAATGGAGAAAATGGGCTCAAAAATGGCACAACCCCGATTTTTAACCCATTCTGCCAAGCAACATTTCCGCACCTTCGGAGGGCTAGCCGCACCTGCAGAAAAAGCCTCGCATGTGTGAGTTTCCCTCGCCTAGCCACGCTCTGCATTTGCGGCCTCAGGACAGCTTCCGCGAGTCCGTTTCTACGACTTGGGCCTTTGCATCTGTGCCCATTTCCACTTCTGCGTGCCAAGCTTCGCACCTGCGGCTGGCCAAGCGCAGGTGTGGTTGCAGTAGAAGCTGGAAGCTTCAGCTGCTGCTCCAAGGTCCAAAATTGATCCGAGCCTCGTCCGGTTAACACCCGAGGCCCCCAGTGTCCCGCCCGAACGTACCAACAAATTTGAAATCATAAAACGGACTCGCTCGAACCCTCAGAACGTGTAAAATAACATCAAAACTAAGAATCATACCCCAAACCAAATTAATTCAACTTAAAAATTTCAAATTCTTCAAACTTACTCCGAACGCGCCGAAACATACTTAAACTACTTGGAATGATACCAAATTTTGCGTGCAAGTCTTAAATTACCATATGGAGCTATTCTTAGGCTCGGAATTCCAAACGGACTTCAATTACTCCAAAACCTACTCCAAACCAAATTTAAAGAACCTTAAACCTTTAAATAGTTGATTTTCACTATTAAGCGCTGAAGTGCTCCCGGGTTGTCCAAAACCCGATTCGAACATACGCCCAAGTCCAAAATCATCATACGAACCTATTGGAACGGTCAAATCTCGATTGCGAGGTCGTTTTCTCAAAATGTTGACTTAAGTAAAACTTGGACTTTTAAAGCCAAACTAAGGAACCAAGTGTTCCGATTTCAACCCGAACACTTCCAAATGCCGAACCATCCATCCCCGCAAGTCATAGATTAATAAAAGCATATACGATGAGTTTTATTTAGGGGAATGGGGTTCTAAAAGTCAAAATGACCTGTTGGGTCATTACATTCTCCACCTCTTAAACAAATGTTCGTCCTCGAACGGGTTTAGAATTTTTACCTGGAATGCTGAATAAGTGTGGATATCTGCTCCGCATGTCCTCCTCGGACTCCCAAGTTGCTTCCTCTACTGGTTGGCCCCTCCACTGATTTCTTACCGCAGTAACTTCTTGGACCTCATCTGGCGAACTTGTTTATCAACAATTGCAGCTGGCTCATCTTCATAACCCAAGCTTTTATCTAACTGAACGGTGCTGAAGTATAACACATGAGATAGGTCGGCATGATACTTCCGGAGAATAGATACATGGAAAACCGGATGAACTCTTGATAGGCTGGGAGGCAAAATCAAGCTCGTAAGCAACCTCTCCAACTCGTCTCAACACCTCAAATGGGCCTATAAAACCTTGGGCTCAACTTGCTCTTCTTCCCAAATCTCATGATTCCCTTCATCAGCGAAACCTTTAGGAGAACTATTTCGCCCACCATAAACGATAAATCACGCGCTTTCTGATCCGCATAACTTTTCTGTTTGGACTGTGTTGTACGAAGTCGCTCCTGAATTAATTTTACCTTTTACAAGGCATCCTTTTCCAAATCAGTACCATGTAACTTAGCCTCGCCGGGCTCAAACCATCCGATGGGCGAACGACATCGCCGACCATATAAAGCCTCAAATGGAGCCATTTCGATGCCGGATTGGTAACTTTTGTTATAAGCAAACTCGGCCAAAGGAAAGAAACAATCCCACTGTCCTCCAAAGTCAATTACACATGCCCTGAGCATATCCTCCAAAATCTGAATTGTCCGCTCCGACTATCCGCCGGTCTGCGGATGAAAGGCTGTGCTGAGCTCTACACGGGTCCCCAATTCACTATGTACTGCTCTCCAGAAATGTGAAGTAAACTGAGGGCCTCTATCTAATATGATGAAAATTGGCACACCGTGCAACCAAACTATCTTCTGAATATAAATCTGGGCCAACCTCTCCGAAGTATACGTAGTCACAATCGGAATAAAGTGTGCCGACTTGGTCAACCTGTTGATAATGACCCAAACTGCATCAAACTTCCGCAAGGTCCGCGGAAACCCAACTACAAAATCCATAGTAATGCGTTCCCATTTTAACTTCGGTATAGTTATCTGCTGAAATAGGACACCTGGCCTCTGGTGCTCATATTTAACTTGCTAGAAATTTAGACACCTAGCTACATATTCGACTATGTCCTTTTCCATCCTCCACCACCAATAATGCTGCCTCAAGTCGCGATACATCTTCGTAGCACCTGGATGGATAGAATACCGAGAACTGTGTACCTCCTCTAGAATCATTTTCCTCAGTCCATCCACATTAGGAACACATAGACGATCCTGGAGTTGCAGAACACCATCCGCGCCAATAGTAACTTCCTTGGCACCACCCTGTAGTACCGTTTCTGGAAGAATCATTAAGTGTGGATCATTATACTGGCGAGCCTTGATATGCTCAATTAATGAAGATTGGGCCACAACACATGCAAGAACTCAGCTGGGCTCTGAAATATCCAGTCTCACAAGTCTGTTAGCCAAGGACTGAATATCCAAAGCTAATGGCCTCTTCTCTGCTGAAATGAAAGCCAAACTACCCACACTCTCCGTTTTTTCTACTCAAGGCATCTGCAACTACATTTGTTTTGCCCGGATGATATAAGATAGTAATATCATAATCTTTTAGTAACTCAAGCCATCTGCGGTGCGTCAAATTTAGGTCCCTCTACCTGAACAAATGCTGTAAACTACGATGATCAGTGTAAACTTCACAAGACACCCCATAAAGATAATGCCTCCAAATCTTAAGAGAGTGAATAATTGCAGCTAACTCCAAATCATGTACCGGGTAATTCTTCTCGTGGGGTTTCAACTGATGTGAGGCATATGTAATAACTCGTTCCTCCTGCATTAATACACAACCCAAACTACAGCGTCATAATACACTGTATACATCCCCGAATCGGAAGGCAACACTAACACTGGTGTTGTAGTCAATGCTGTCTTGAGCTTCTGAAAGCTCACCTCGCAATCATTAGACCATCAGAACGGATCACCCTTCTGG